ACCCAGGAGTACAAGTGGGTACCTGGTAAGTTCAAACACAGACTGCACTGAATACAGCTGCAACATTATGAAATTCCCCCATGGGCCTGAATGTGTGTTCCATATGTGCTTGATCCAGTGATCCGTTTTAATGACGATCAGTTTAGACTGTCACAGACAATCAGCAGACAGTGTTGAGCCATCTAACACTCACAGGAAGGGAGTTAGATTGAGCGAGTGCCTAGCTTATTAAAGGGAACAATGTAACACCAGTTATGAAGAAAATACTTCACTCACAGCACAAACTAAAAATCAAAGTAGTTTATGTTGGTTTTTGAAAACAACAATGCAAGTTTAGGTATGCATTGTTGTTACTAAAGAATACAAAAGTCCTTGACAATCAATATGCATAATGGAAATTACAATTTTACAAACTAACACTAATGTAGTTGGATCAATATAGTGCAGGAATGGTCGGAGGGCCAAAGTGAATTTTTGATTTAACACCAAGGGCTACACCCAAATTTCGATGGTTCCAGTGTGCTTCCAAAAACCTTTATGCACTGCTTTTATACCACTTTATTATAAGTTTTATTATTACTGTTTACAGATAATGGTTGTCGAGCCGTTTTCTAGCCAAAGATGGTCGGCGGGTCACACACATAGGCATTTTGGTCCAGGAATTTCTTTCAACCTACGTGTTCAACCATAGGTGTGATGGTTGAACTTATTACCAGCTATTTAACAAATCAGACACCTAGAATCTATGTAGGTAGTATACCAGTCTCTCCTCTGTCCACAACAGGAGCTGTGCCAGTACACCGGGGGATGCTAAGGCTGTCTCTTATACACATCTAGATGTGTATAAGAGACAGGCATTAAATCAGTCAGTCAGTATATATAAATAATATTCCAATATTTTAATATAATAATTAGAAAAGTTGTAAAATACGAACTACTCTACACTATGGTAGTAGTAAATTCAAAAATATGATTGCGAAGTTGAATTGTATGCAGGCAGGTCAATCTCAATATATTCTTTTGCCATGATACAATAAGTTATAAGTGGCCCCTGCAGCATGCAGTTATAGGTGCACCCTGCAGCATGCTAAAAAAAGTCCAAATAAAATCTATGGTTATATTGATGTATTGCCATCCAAATTAACTACAACTTAGTTGTAAATATGAGGGCGGAAAGAAGCCACTGGCGTAGTGTATTTTAAATTCTTTTTTAGTGGACATGACAGAGTGTTTGGTGAAATCAGTTTACATAGAGTAATGTTCATGACCATAATGATATCAATGGAAACAATAGTATACATACTCCAAGTATCAAAATGCATGACATCGTGTCAGGATTCAATATTTCAATATTACTTGTGTCATCATCAGGAATGAAAAATTATCCATATTTGCAAGCTTACATGCACAATTACCAAAAATCAAAGCATTTACAATAGCAATGGGTTTAGCCTACGCATAGCAAACGCTTCTTTAAACAATAGGACAGACCAGTTTTGTGAACTGTCAATAATGTTGATGATCATAATAATGATATAAATGGATACTGTACCTTGAGTGCAGCATCTTTTGTAACAGAACTTGAGTTGCATTCAGAGTTTGCAATCAATGTAATATCAGCTATGAATAAAATATATATTTTTAGTCAATTAGATAAAATGTGATATATCCAAAGCCAGGTACTCACTGCACCCGGCAGTCGTCGGTTGACGCGATTCTATGGAGAAGGCAATGCCAAGACGCACATGCAACATGTTGCATCGGTTGTGGCTTGGACTCCCAACCTTGTGCAAATCACTTGTGTCCTTGGGCAAGGCACTTTATCTACAGTTGTCTCTCTCCACCCAGGAGTACAAGTGGGTACCTGGTAAGTTCAAACACAGACTGCACTGAATACAGCTGCAACATTATGAAATTCCCCCATGGGCCTGAATGTGTGTTCCATATGTGCTTGATCCAGTGATCCGTTTTAATGACGATCAGTTTAGACTGTCACAGACAATCAGCAGACAGTGTTGAGCCATCTAACACTCACAGGAAGGGAGTTAGATTGAGCGAGTGCCTAGCTTATTAAAGGGAACAATGTAACACCAGTTATGAAGAAAATACTTCACTCACAGCACAAACTAAAAATCAAAGTAGTTTATGTTGGTTTTTGAAAACAACAATGCAAGTTTAGGTATGCATTGTTGTTACTAAAGAATACAAAAGTCCTTGACAATCAATATGCATAATGGAAATTACAATTTTACAAACTAACACTAATGTAGTTGGATCAATATAGTGCAGGAATGGTCGGAGGGCCAAAGTGAATTTTTGATTTAACACCAAGGGCTACACCCAAATTTCGATGGTTCCAGTGTGCTTCCAAAAACCTTTATGCACTGCTTTTATACCACTTTATTATAAGTTTTATTATTACTGTTTACAGATAATGGTTGTCGAGCCGTTTTCTAGCCAAAGATGGTCGGCGGGTCACACACATAGGCATTTTGGTCCAGGAATTTCTTTCAACCTACGTGTTCAACCATAGGTGTGATGGTTGAACTTATTACCAGCTATTTAACAAATCAGACACCTAGAATCTATGTAGGTAGTATACCAGTCTCTCCTCTGTCCACAACAGGAGCTGTGCCAGTACACCGGGGGATGCTAAGGTGTCCAACTGGGGGGGGGGGGCTAAGTATTTATAGGTGTAACTATAGTGCGCAGCGTTATCTGAGAGCCGAAGGCCGGAGCCGGGAGTGGGTGTAAAAGAGGGTGTCCCCTCCTCCCAAAACGAGATTTTTTTAAAAATTGGGACTTCTAGATGGGCGGAAATTGCTGGGATGGGAAAACTAGGCCTATTTTTTCTTTCTTTTTTTGGTCCGACTGCCCGACAAGCTTTGGCCGATGGGAGGGGCTTGACCAAACCAATGGGGGGCTTATCCAAGAAGACTTGTTCTACCACAAGAACCATAGGTGAGCATGCAAGCGTGTCATTCGAAACAAGGGCTGATATGTTGGCAGTATGTTAAGGTGCCCATGGCTTAACCGCTCGCCCATTTGACTCGCCAATAACATAATATAGGGATTTATACTGCGCATTTGTCAAGGGATGCAAGGCTTTGGTGACACCTGGTCAATTAATCCATAATTAGAAAACCGAAGTGCAACCTGTTCCACTCCCTGGGGAGTACAATATATTAATGCCGATACAGACTAATACATTCAATGCCACATCATCCTACCTAGGTACCCATCTTGGTGGAGTAGGTAAAGTGCCTTGCCGAATGATGAGTGAAATACACAGGTTTGAACATCTGACCTCAAGGTTAACAAACCGAAACGCAACCCTGTTTGTGTTATTTTTTTATGTGAACAATGTATGTAAGGGAGAGGTAGAAAAAAAAGATATATTCTGAATAGGCAGTACAATGGCACTAATTGCAATTGTGGTCAAGAACTGGTCATAAAATCACATATATTAAAATAAAATAGTAAATGTAAATTGGATGTAGAGAAAATCCCATAAGGCACTGAGATTTTTTAAAAAGTAGGTATTCAAAATAAACAATATTATGCCAATACATTTAAATAAGTAAATACCATTTATATAACATTAAAATGACAGTAAGTACATTTGATCCTTTACATAACATTACAATGCTAAGTGAGGTTGGTCACACACAATAACAAACATATAGGAATTGATGATAAAAGACCAATACTGTACCTCACTTTTTCAGCAAAGTTATTTAGTTAAAAGTATTTCTAATGACTTGCCATTTTGAATCTCCCTCCAGAAGTCTCCTTTGTGGATGATAGGAAGAGTCGCCTTAAGTTCTTCCAGGAATGTATTGAAAATTAAAGGTTTGTTAGATATACAGCATTCTTCTCGAAGAGCACGGATACAATCAATCACTTTACTATTAATCATTTTCCCGAAAGACTGCTTCAACAACTCATTTATCTGCATCTTCATTTCACTGCATACTGTAAAATAAATGTTTAGCAATTTGGCTACAGTATAAAAAATTAATAGACAATTGAAGTTCAATTATCACAGTAATGAATATAAATTTTAATTTATTAGCATTTTAGCTAATTCAAATTGAAAATATTTAGCCAAATTTAGTTTAGGTTTAGATTTAATGTTTTGGTTTGAAACCTTAAGCAATGAATTATCCAACAATGTTATTTGTTTTCTGGTGGCTATTCACATGCACCTTTAATCCTTTCTTGAATTTGAGATATTGTATACCAATGTCCATTCTAAAGATCAAGAGCAAAAAATTCTGGTTTGATATTGTATTTTGAGCCATCTTTAATTGCTTTGATACTTTTGCGGGCTTTCCACAAAGGCTATCCAAATAAAACTGTCAAACGGTTGTATTAAAATGATGATGTTAAAAATGTTAGGATTATTATTATTATAATTATATATTATAACGAATAATCTTTATTTCGATTGCTATAATACCCAATGAAACTACATAGCAACGAACCACCGATAGGAGCCAATAAACTCTCAATCACAACTATATGTGGCAGCATCACAAGAATTGTCAAAAGATACATCAAAAAATAATAAGTTTCCCCTTAATAAGGGTTACATTGTTTTGATTTGGCCATTTTGCACACTCGGAAAGTGTCTCGATCCCCTTAATAGGGGTGTCCCCTTAATAGGAAATGGATTGTATAGCGTCTTACACAATTAAAAATCGCTCTCAAAGAATACGATAAAGAGAAGAGAAAACTAACCCATGAACTATCCTAAAATTAGGGGTTGGCTGTAGTGTTAAAAGATATTTCCCTTTGTTTAACTGAAAAGTGTCCCCTTGATAATACTATAGTTGGATTGCTCACAGGCCATTCACTGTACAGGATAATCTGAAGCCACAGACGCCATATGCAAAAGCCCAATGACATACCAGTCAACAAAGTTTTTGTTTGCTTCGTCTTCTTATGACCATCTTGCACACCGATCTGACTTACTAAACTTTATTTATCGTGGTATACAGCCTAAATTACATGATCAGTGAAATATTAATTATGCAAATGAGTAATTAGCGTATTCACCGCGTATCAAAAACAATAGCCTCCACCTTCTTATTACCATCTTCATTCTGCCAAGTTGAAACCAATTGGATTTGTAATGATAGTCCTGCATTGCGCCAAGTCTTCATTGTGACAATTACAAAGAAGTAAATGCCAGCTTTATTAAGAAATGTATTGGGAAATTATTTCAATAGATTTGTTGTATTATGTTTTTATGTACTATATATTTATCTAATACTTTCCTTCTGAAATTCCCACCATAGATACTGACGACACATGTAATTAAATAATTCTAAATAGGCAGGATATATGGCTGGTGTTGCAATATGAGAAGCAGTGCTATTTAATATTATTCATCTATCCATGCTGCTTTTGAAAAAAGTAAAACCTGAAACAATAATCAATAACTGGTACAATCTGTTTTTATGTAAATAATAGTGTTGAATAATATCATTTATTTAAAATTATTATATATATATATTTTTTTTTTTTTTTTACCTTTTCCAAACTCTTGGACATTATTCTGGGCTATCATAGCTCTGAAATCTTTAACAGGATCAACTGTACCAACCTATAATTTGAAAATGAAACGATTGTGTATAACTTACAGTACATATGATACATTCACACAAACCTGTATGAAATATTCTACAATTATTGTACGATAATGATTACGACACCAAATCAAGAAACACACAAAAACAGACTAGTGCAAGGAACCAAAACCATTGCAGCATTTTTTTGCAAGATCAGTTCAGCAAGTTAATGGTTTTGGCACTTAACTAGCCTACCAAAAAAACAGAGGTGAGGAAAAAACAGTTGAAAAGGAGAAAACAAGAGATCACAAAGATGCTGAGTTTAGGCTGTCTCTTATACACATCTAGATGTGTATAAGAGACAGGGCCTATGCCTGGCGCTCTTATGTATGTGATCAATAGGTTTGGGTTGTTTTCCACTATTTTCTGTGGCGTCCTTGGCTGCGGACTCCATGCCTAATGCTACTTCTGTAGCCTTATGAAGTTTTAACCCTTTTTCTGTTAACAGCCATTTTTGTATCGTGGCTGATGTCAATCCAACAACGAATTTGTGATTCGTTAAGCTTATCTCTGAACTCATAATGTTTGGTTGAACGCCTGAGGTAGTTTCAACTTGTTAATTTGTTTATAGAAGCGAAAACATTCTAGCAATAACTAGAGGCGTTGGCGAAAAATGTGTATGGAGTTGTTTGCATATTTTATCATACGTTCGGGCATGCACAGATCTTTCAATGACCATCAGTAGCGTAGTAACACGTTTTTCGTGTTGATCCATTTACATCAATGAAGGATTCTAGCCTCTCAGCGTAGGAGATCCAATCCTCCGTATTATCGTAGGCTTCTAAATTTCCGATAGTCGGCATATTAATCTCCTCCTAGTATCTTGTTAATGTTACCTTTAGCCTTGTCGCCAATTAGTAGTGTATGGTGGATTCAACAATGTATGTATTAATGTAAACTTTCACGAACAAACGAAAACACAGATGTTTAACAATCATCATCTGGCCATGCTCCTTCGCCTTTCTCCACATCTCATCTTTTCTGTTTTGAGATGCCTTGTTAATTTCTGTGGCACTTTGTTGGTAAAAATAATTTGTTGTCAGGCTTTGTTGCCAGGTTGACAGTTACCTTTAGGCTTCACAATGGGGACTTTTTGTCCTTTCAGTAGCCCAATCTTTCTGAAAACAGAACTTCTGCATTTTTTTCTGTCAGCTGATCAACTTGTGTATGTGCTTTACTCACATATGTTGTTTGTACTGCAATTTATGTTGAAGATTTCATGCCATGGTAGCTTAATTTTGTTCAACTAAGCTCTACCAAATATTGGTAGGCCACCCTTGTTTACGATAGACAGTCTGGCGCTTACCATTTGTTTGTCCATTGTAGTTAATGTATACATTGTATCATCCTGAGCATTCTATTTGTTCACAGGTGTACATGTATGGAAGCCTTCTTTCTCTTTGCATATCTGTGCGTTTCGGAAGTTCTCCTCAAGTCGTGTCGATTCATTATTGAATACGTCGCTCCCGTGTCTAATTCCATTTTTACCTTCTGTCCGTTTATATAGGGGTATACCCGACAAGGGTTCATATTAGAGTTCACTGTAAGTTTGTTAATACTGGTAAAATCTTACTCATCATCAGATTCTGATAAGCCCCCAACGTTGTGTACAAGCTTATATTTGTTATAGCGATGTTGATTTTTATTATTGGGTTTTGTTGTATGTCCCGTTGTATGTCCATAGGACTTTTCTTTTTCTTGAAGCAAACCTTTATGATGTGCCATTTGACCTTGCAGAAATTACATGTTGTTTTGATGAATCTGCATGTTTCTGCCCTATGTGTTGTGTCTTATGCTTAGCTGATGTATGGCTAGCTTTACTAGGCCTATGCCTGGCGCTCTTATGTATGTGATCAATAGGTTTGGGTTGTTTTCCACTATTTTCTGTGGCGTCCTTGGCTGCGGACTCCATGCCTAATGCTACTTCTGTAGCCTTATGAAGTTTTAACCCTTTTTCTGTTAACAGCCATTTTTGTATCGTGGCTGATGTCAATCCAACAACGAATTTGTGATTCGTTAAGCTTATCTCTGAACTCATAATGTTTGGTTGAACGCCTGAGGTAGTTTCAACTTGTTAATTTGTTTATAGAAGCGAAAACATTCTAGCAATAACTAGAGGCGTTGGCGAAAAATGTGTATGGAGTTGTTTGCATATTTTATCATACGTTCGGGCATGCACAGATCTTTCAATGACCATCAGTAGCGTAGTAACACGTTTTTCGTGTTGATCCATTTACATCAATGAAGGATTCTAGCCTCTCAGCGTAGGAGATCCAATCCTCCGTATTATCGTAGGCTTCTAAATTTCCGATAGTCGGCATATTGATCTCCTCCTAGTATCTTGTTAATGTTACCTTTAGCCTTGTCGCCAATTAGTAGTGTATGGTGGATTCAACAATGTATGTATGAATGTAAACTTTCACGAACAAACGAAAACACAGATGTTTAACAATCTGCCATTTTTTGTAGAATCGTTTATTCTCAAAAGTAGGGGGCACTTTATTAAAATGTACAGTTATCATGAATAATTTGTATTGCGGTAATCTAAACAGGTAAGCTTACTGTATTAAACCTAATAATATATTACACTGTTAAAATGTTAAAAAGATAATTTCAACATAATGTTTAAGTACAGTTTATTTGGAGTCAATTTCGAAATTGAGAGTCGGCATTTTAGTTTTATTTTTTGGCTACATCGAAAAATATTTTTTTAATGAGCTAAAATAGGCTGGATTAGGCCTATCTTGCGATGATAGGTGATGCAACTGTGTTAGGCCACCATTTTGCTCTTCGATATAGATTTTAAAATACTCTTTGTTGTATTTTTGTGTATTTTCTACTTTCTAGGCATCAACAATTTTTGGTAAAAAAAAAAAAAATTCCTACTATCTATTTTACCAAAACGTGGCCAACACAAGAATTTTTTTTTATTGGCCTTATTATCATTATCATTATTATTATTAATATTATTTTCTTTTTTCAATTTTGACCATTAATTTCTTAGTTTTTCCATGTACTTTCATAGGATTCTAATCTATACTATATGCCCCCTTAATTCTAAGTGCTCACTCTATTCATGCTACATCTATCTAATAGAAAGATCAATAATAAAATAACAACAATATTTGGTCATTAACACTGCATCATTAAAAACTATTTTCGTTTCTACTGATTTCATATTATAAATGAATTGTATTTGCATTACAAATTATTGCTATGAATTAGTTCTAATTCTACTGTAACTGATTCTTATATCAATATAAACAAAATTATACAGAATGTATGTCACTGTTGTATGGAAACATGCCAAAACCCCTATTTGATTTTTTGGTTAGTGCCCCTTTACAGGGGTTCTTCTCATGNCCTTTTCCAAACTCTTGGACATTATTCTGGGCTATCATAGCTCTGAAATCTTTAACAGGATCAACTGTACCAACCTATAATTTGAAAATGAAACGATTGTGTATAACTTACAGTACATATGATACATTCACACAAACCTGTATGAAATATTCTACAATTATTGTACGATAATGATTACGACACCAAATCAAGAAACACACAAAAACAGACTAGTGCAAGGAACCAAAACCATTGCAGCATTTTTTTGCAAGATCAGTTCAGCAAGTTAATGGTTTTGGCACTTAACTAGCCTACCAAAAAAACAGAGGTGAGGAAAAAACAGTTGAAAAGGAGAAAACAAGAGATCACAAAGATGCTGAGTTTAGGGGCGGCAACACAAAAGGACTTTTCCTCTAAAGTTTTTAGACGGCATTTAGGTGTGAACAGTGTTGAAGTGCCTGAAGTAGGTCTGAGTGTTCTTGTTTAGGTTGTAGAACAGTTTGAGAAGATCATGTATGTAAGTTGGTGCACTGTGGTGAAGAATCTTGTATACAAGGAGAAAAGTCTTAATGGAAGCAAATGCAATGTATGTCGCTTATCCTTGATCGATCACCTCCCAAATTTTAGTATATTATAGCTGAGACAATTTTCTTCCATAAGTTTGCCCTTCATTTTTCATTTTGATGACATCATCATGGCCAAAATTTTTTTCTGACACCCACCTTTATTAATCTTTCTTCAAATTGAGGCTCTTTACAGCTATATTATACAGCTTTATATATAATTGAGGGCACACATTCTGCGTATAACTTAAAATTGGTCAGTGACAAATTTAAATCTAGTTGGCTTTTCCCAGCAGTACTGGGAGAAGGCATTGTTTTTGTTCTAATTTTTTTTTTTTTTCTTGCACATATTTTTCTTATATTTTGAATAATCTTTTATTATTTTTAGTAGTCAATATTACAACAGTTAAACATCTAACAATGAGATTCTATGTACAAGATTACAAATTTATAAATGCCAAATGTGCAATACGAGTAGATTTACCGTACAATTAAAAATCGTAACGGTACTGAATTTAGTCTACAGGAGTTTGTGCTTCAAACAGGCCATTCCATTCGTAGAAGCCTTTTGATGAAGAAAGTATACCTTTTTAGGAAGGGTTGCCTAGGTTAAAACTCATTCGGGTATATGAAATTGATTATAAGCTTGAATTGTTAATCTTATTAATGTAAGGAATACAGTACTACAGTATGTTCACATTTAATTTTATTTACAAGTTGAATTATATAAAATTCGAATTTAATGTTGTAAATATATAGTTTGCCTAATTTGCTTTTGAAAAATCTAAAAACTTATTTATCACAGGAATGTAAAAACTTGCCATATTTCCTCACTTTGTAGTGCTTTAAATAAATTTGTGCTATATAAATATTTGTTATGATTTATATTTATCATATCATTTATTTATGATAATATTATCGTATACTATGATTAAAGACCATATTTCATGATGATTTACTATCCATACTAGCACATTCTTTTAGGTGTCTTAACATTATTGAAGACATTTTTTTGAGTTCCTAATGTCCATTAAATAGTAATGGTAAAAGTAAAGAAAAATTTTACGCTAACATGAATCTACAAAATATTGGACGAGGACTTTTCACATTACAAAAGCAACACGTGAGAATTCATTATTCAAATTTTGTTAGTACAGTACAGTGGAAGGAGCAGAGTAATATTTAGTATTTTTAAGTAAGTAGAACGTACCACAGTGAGTACAGCTGTTACAAAGGTGTATGTATACTAAATATAACGGAACAATATAAAATACGAAATGTCTAAATCTATCACAAATTTAACAAGTACTGTACAATCCAATTTTTACTTTCTTTCCAGAATCTTACAAAAAAGAAAATAAATGAAAAGAAATATGATACTCTTGGGCGTTGATGATGGTCAGCAATGTTTCCCCACCCACAAAGACCATATTTTATGATGATTTACTATCCATACTAGCACATTCTTTTAGGTGTCTTAACATTATTGAAGACATTTTTTTGAGTTCCTAATGTCCATTAAATAGTAATGGTAAAAGTAAAGAAAAATTTTACGCTAACATGAATCTACAAAATATTGGACGAGGACTTTTCACACTACAAAAGCAACACGAGAGAATTCATTATTCAAATTTTGTTAGTACAGTACAGTGGAAGGAGCAGAGTAATATTTAGTATTTATGTAAGTAGAATTTACCATGTGAGTACAGCTGTTACAAAGGTGTATGTTTACTAAATATAACGGAACAATATAAAATACGAAATGTCTAAATCTATCACAAATTTAACAAGTACTGTACAATCCAATTTTTACTTTCTTTCCAGAATCTTACAAAAAAGAAAATAAATGAAAAGAAATATGATACTCTTGGGCGTTGATGATGGTCAGCAATGTTTCCCCACCCACAAAGACCATATTTTATGATGATTTACTATCCATACTAGCACATTCTTTTAGGTGTCTTAACCTGTCTCTTATACACATCTAGATGTGTATAAGAGACAGAAGACATTCTGATTTGCATGGTCTGTCAAATTACATTATAAGGGGTTGGTGAATAGGTGTTTTATTAAAACAATGCCTGTTGTTAACATAAAATGAAGCCTCCGAAACAATTCAGAAAATCATTTCATAATAATTTGTCAATGTATTGAGAAATTTCACTTAAATGTAGATGGTTTATATCCTTAATTGTTTTCAAGCCTAAACAAAGTATGTGTGCAATATTATTTTATTATTTGATAAATTATTCTTGCAGTGTCAAGAGTTAGAAAACAATAAATACTAATTAGGTTTCTAAATAACGGAAATCTGTATTACTTAGTTACTTGTATACCAGTAAAACAAACCACCCAGAACTTAAAATTCTTTCCTATAATTTTATAGTAGATAAATACCAAACAAGAGCATAAAATTATAAAAATATTGTAATACCCATATGGGTCAATACAAATAATAAGAATGAAACTAGATTTGAAATCGTCACTGAGGACGAGTTTGGTGATCCGCCTTACTTTGACGCTCACGAAGCACGCATGGTGCTGATTGAAAATTATTATATGCTAAAACATGCTCTATTTAGTTTTTAAAAAGAGTAATTTTGAGCATTTTAATGACTTACGAATGTGTACACATACGTCTTAAAGTTAAACCCAAAACATGTAACCGAAACGTAATTTCCAGCTTCAGTACGTGCTTCTTTTAAGAAAGAAAGATGAGAAGGCTCCAAAAAAGCATTCTTTTTTACCATGATGACGTCATCAAAATGAAAAATAAAGGGACACTTCTGAAAGAGAATTGTCTCAGCTATAACATACTCACAGGTGGAAGACAATCGATCAAGAATAAGCAAGATACGTTCAAATAAGTTGAAAAATAATGGCGTCATAAATAAAATTTCAGTTTTTAGAAAATTAGATAGCAATATGATGACGTCACAATGTCCGATCAGCCATAATGATCTATAAAATCATATCTACAATTCATGTGCTTTCAGAATATGTAATAAAAATTAGGGGTTACCTTTCATCCTAAGGAGCTACAACTGATTAAAAGTAGGCATAATTTTAAGTATACATAATTGTTGACGCACGCGTACGCGCACGTTAAGTCGCGCGATCGGAAAATTAAGGTACCTGACATTCAACCTTGACCTGAAGATTATGCTCACTTAATATGATTCAGAAATGACGAATGGTTAAGATGATATGGGCTCATCAACGTTTTGAGGAAAGAAAGATGGGGGGGGGTAAGAAAAAACAATTTTTTTGACCATGATGACATCATCAAAATGTCAAATATATGAAAGAGAATTGTCTCAGCTATAACATACTCAAAGTTGGAAGACGATCGATCAAGGATAAGCGAGATACGCTCAAATGCGTATTTTCAAAAATGACATAGCTATATTAAATTCACTTTATTTGAATTCAGATGCTAATATGATGACGTCACAATGTCCGATCAGCCTTTATGATCTATAAAATCATATTTACAACTTATGTGCTTTCTGAATATGTAATAAAAATTAGGGGTCACCTTTCATCCTAAGGAGCTATAACTGATTAAAAATAGGCCTAATTTAAGCATATTTTCACTGTATATTGGCACAAATCCGCAAAAAGATACCTATATTTGATGCGCACATACGGCATTGCTATTGGCCATAAGATGACCAAAAAGAATGAAAATTAGTGAAAACAATGTCAGGAACCCAAAACTATGTGAAAAAACATGTCTAGCTTCCGTACGTGCTGCGCGCGCATTTTTACGCGCGCGTAGTGGAAAATTTCAAAAACTTTAGAAATGCTCAAAATAGCATGAAACATGCTCTCATTTAGTCAAAAAGTGATTTTGATCATTTTAAAAATGTGACGCACGCGTACGCGCGCGTAAAATTAAGGTACAGTACATTCAACATTAACCCAAAGTTAATGCTCACTTAATACGATTTCGAAATGGCAATCGGTTAGGCTGATATGATCGATAATGTAAAAACGCAAAATTTGCACGTAGATGACGCCACGCAGGACTGAGCGCGTTGAAAAGCTTACTATGACTATTCCAGACCAAGCCAAATGTTCGCTGACAGCGATTGTGCATTGACTCGTGGCACTTTTTGAGATATCGTGCGAACAGAAAAGGGGAGAAAGAAAGAAGAATAAGAAAGTTGATCCAGTACCATAACAAGAGGTGATCCGCTAACGTTAGCGGATCACCAATAAAATGCAAAATCTAACCTTTGTAACAACTCCTTTGGCAATACTCTGCATACTGACATTTTCATTACCTTCTGTTATACTGCTAAGAGGCTCACCATTGTCACTAAGCAATATTAACAAAATACAATTTGGTTATTCAACAATATATAGAAAGAACTATTTAGACTTTCCTAAGTCATTTGGTACTGCACTATTAAGTAAATCAAGCTAAAAATTAAACATTGCAACATAGTGACGGATATCGATTTCTACATAGTGCATAAAAAGCTTTCTATATTCCAACTATTCATATTTTATAAATTTTGATGATTATGTATATATAACCCTTTTTATATAAATTAAATATTGAGTAATTGGATTGTGGATAAGGTTTATATTTTTGTATTGTTAGGAACCATATGAGTAATATTTTGCCTCTATTTTTGTATTGTAAACCAACGATTTCAGCCTACGGGCTGCCTGTATCGGTGTCTCTTTATAGTACCTTGAATAAATAAATAGATATATAATTAAATATTTCAAACAAAAAAACTGCATCCTACAGCAGGGGTGACCACAGGGAGTCTTTTACCCAGCACCCTCCTAACAACTATGACGGCCTACCGCCTAAGCGTAGACGTAGGTATAGGGGCAGACGCGGGGGAAGTAAGATAAAATGGTGAATTCCTGTTGTTTACAATGTATTTGTTAGGAATGACCAATTCCATACACACATTGAGCCTCGGACTCGGGTAACAACTTCAATTGAGTTAGTTCCAGACCATACTAAGCAAAATGGCGGCGATCGGAAAACTGCAGTTGATTTACCCACCACCCTGTTTTGTAATGCACGTTCGGTGCTTAACAAACTTGATGAACTACATATATTCCTTAACAAGGAAAAAAATGACATAGCCGTAATCACCGAATCATGGTTTTCACCTCACCATCACCCAAATCAAGTCAACATTCCTAATTATTCATTATTCTCTACCTGTCGAGAAGATAGACGAGGTGGGGGCGTAGCTGTTTACTTGAAAGATTACATGAATGTTCAACCACTTATAAACATTGTTGTACCTCCTGAACTAGAAGTAATTTGGATTCAAATAAGGCCACATAGACTTCCGAGGGGGATTTCACAAATTGTTTTGTGTGGCATATACATAGTTACTAATTCTCCTCATCAAGCATTATTAGAACATCATCTGATTGAAACCATGAATGGTATTCGTTCACAGTCACCTGAAACAGATTTTTGTGTGATGGGATTTCAACCGGATGAACATGTACAAAATTATAAACGGAACCTGTCTTAAACAAGTCGTTAAATTTCACACACATGGCAACGTTACATTGGATTTGATACTAACTAACCTTGACAATTTTTTTTGTGCACCCTCTGCTTTTGCTCCTCTAGGGAAAAGTGACCACCTGTCCATGTTGTGGAAACCCATGATCAGAACTGTAAATAATACTGTGAGCAAAATCAATGTTCGTCCTTTTTATCCAGCAAGAATTTGCAACTTCGGGCGCTGGATTTCCTGCCAGGACTGGACAGATATTACTTGCTGTTCTACCACCCAAGGGAAAATGGATAAGTTGTATGAACTTTTGGACACTGCTATTAATGATTTTTTTCCAATTAAAGAAATTAAGATCCATAAGTCGGATAAACCTTGGGTTACTCAAGCCCTGCGAGACTTAATTGATAGGAGACAGTTAGCCTTTTTTAATAACACTACAATGGAGGAAACTTAGAAATGCAGTTAAGAGGGAAGTTGCTAAACTCAAGGCCATTTATTTTTGTAATCGTGTTAAGCACATACAGTGTAGTGAACCACGCAAGTGGCATACACAAATTAAGACCATGGCATATATGGGTAATAATAAGATACTCAATGTTCCGGTTCAGGGTCTTTTGCCCTCAGATCATGTTGGGATTGCTAAGGCAATAAATAACCAATTCACCAGCATTGTCTGTGAGTTACCACCTTTAGATTATAACAAGCTTCCTGCCTATCTTCTTTCCGTTGATAGGATTCCCCAAATTCAGCCATGGGAGGTATATAATAAATTGAAAAAGGTAAATCCAAATAAAGCCGGGGAAGGGGGGGAGGGGGGTCGGATTGTATCCCACCTAGAATTTTAAGGGAATTTGCAGTTGAATTAAGCGAGCCGTTTTCTGATATTCTTAATTCTTCCTTTAGAGAAGGCAGGCTGCCTGTCCAATGGAAAAGATCCATTGTCGTACTCATCCCTAAAAATCAGCCACCAAGTATTGACAGGTTGAGGCCTATTTCTCTTACCTCCGCGTTTGCAAAGGTGGCTGAAGAGTTTGTAAGTAACTGGATACTTAATGACATCAGTCAATGTATTGACATTAAAGAGTATGGCAATGTGAAGGGAGCCTCCACCTGCCACTACTTGGTGCGCCTCATTCATGACCTGAGCTCTGTGGCTGACAGAAGTGGCAACATTGGGACGGTCGTAATTACGGACTTCACTAAGCCCTTTGACCTCATCAATCACAATGTGCTAATATCCAAAATGATTGATATTGGAGTCCGTAGGTCGATCGTCCCATGGGTTTGCGACTTCCTCAGTCGCAGAGAGCAGTGTGTTAAGTACAATAATTCTATGTCTTCTTTTGTTTGTCTCAAGGGTGGTGTCCCACAAGGCACTAAGCTCGGACCGTTAGCTTTTCAGATTATGATCAATGAGGCTGCAATGGGTTCTAATACCAAGTACTTAAAATATATTGATGATCTCTAATTTTATGGAAATCGACTTATATCACATGAAGGTTTCTTACAGAATGACCTTAATCAATTTCGTGAGTGGTGTATTAATAATACTCTGCTTTTAAATCCTAGTAAATGTAAAGCTATGCAAATATGCTTTGCTAAGAGCAATATCCCAGAACAAAGTTTTTACATTGGTGAATCCCATATTGATTTTTGTGACGAAGCTTTAATTTAGGCGTCACTGTACAGAATGATTTAAAATGGGGTAGCCATATTGACAACAATAATGCTAAGGCTAACAGGAAAATGTTCATTCTTAATAACCTTAAAAAATCTGTGCTATTTATACTGGATACATAAGACCTGTCCTCGAATATGCTGAATGTGATATGGCACCCTGGAATCACTAAAACACTTAGTGCAAAACTTGAGGCTACTCAGAAGCGTGCTTGCCGTATTATTTTAGG